AGCAACTTTATTTAGAATATTTTCTGTTAAACATATCCCTGGGGTATCTTTGTAATATCTACTGTTTTCAACCCTAGTACTGCAGCCTGATTGTTTCCCACAAACACCCATACCTCTATAATTTATCCGTTTAAATTCCTAAACTAGTCATCAATTACCCCCTCTATCGAATTGGCTAATACAACCACTCCACCCCCAGTGAGATGAACCCTATCCTTTGCATCCGTATTATGTTTGCAAAAAACATTGGTTCCAGTTATCAATGAATTGGATTGCAAGTTCCTTGCAGTACCTGTCTAGCCAGAAATTTATCCCAATTGCCCAAGACATCTATTCATTGCCCATTCCCCTTCTAGGTAAGATGCTGCATATGATTGGCATCCCTCCCTTAGACCTGACTACTTCTATGGCTGACCTGTACCTGTTCAGCAGCACCTGTCTCCTGCCTTTCCCGATGTAATTTCCACCAGTACTAAGACAGATAATGGGTTTATTCCTATTACCTTATGTAATATTATCCAACTTGCTGACTATGTCTCCAACACCAACTCCTGGGAGGAACACCCTCTCTCTCTGACCTTCCTATCTCTGTTACAAAAAGCACATTCCATATATCTTACCTGAAAGTCTACCACAATTAGAATATTCTTATCTTGATTAGCAGGGGAGTCAGTGGTACCTTTAACCTCACTAACCTGGAGAACAGAGAATCGATTTCCTACCGTCACATCTTCTCTGTTATCCTTCCTTATCCTACTTCTTCCTGAACTGTAAACCCAAACTTAAAATAACTTAAACCGGGGCTGCAACTCTTTAACTCACTGCTGGCATCCTTTTCCTCCTTACCAGCACCAACCAACTCACATTCACTCCCAAACCCCTCAAAGCAAAGCTTCTGCCTCCTATTTTCCTCCTGAAGAAGTGGAACTTTCTTCTTCAATACTTTAACCTGAGATTCCAGGACAATACAGCAAGCCATGGTCTTGGTAAGAGCCCACGCTAATTCCCAGACAGCTTAGGACAGTGACCTCACGTGACCTCTGATAGCATCGTTATTGTTATTATTATTATTAATTATTATTTTTTATTATCACACTGGCCGATTCCCACCAAGGCAGGGTGGCCCGAAAAAGAAAAACTTTCACCATCATTCACTCCATCACTGTCTTGCCAGAAGGGTGCTTTACACTACAGTTTTTAAACTGCAACATTAACACCCCTCCTTCAGAGTGCAGGCACTGTACTTCCCATCTCCAGGACTCAAGTCCGGCCTGCCGGTTTCCCTGAACCCCTTCATAAATGTTACTTTGCTCACACTCCAACAGCACGTCAAGTATTAAAAACCATTTGTCTCCATTCACTCCTATCAAACACGCTCATGCATGCTGCTGGAAGTCCAAGCCCCTCGCACACAAAACCTTCTTTACCCCTCCCTCCAACCTTTCTAGGCCGACCCCACCCCGCCTTCCTTCCACTACAGACTGATACCTCTTGAAGTCATTCTGTTTCGCCCCATTCTCTCTACATGTCCGAACCACCTCAACAACCCTTCCTCGGCCCTCTGGACAACAGTTTTGGTAATCCCGCACCTCCCCTAATTTCCCAAACTACGAATTCTCTGCATTATATTCACACCACCCCAATTGCCTCAGACATGGCATCTCCACTGCCTCCAGCCTTCTCCTCGATGCAACATTCATCACCCATGCTTCACACCCATATAAGAGCGTTGGTAAAACTATACTCTCATACATTCCCCTCTTTGCCTCCAAGGACAAAGTTCTTTGTCTCCACAGACTCCTAAGTGCACCACTCACTCTTTTTCCCTCATCAATTCTATGATTTCCCCCATCTTTCATAGACCCCTCCGCGACAGTTCCACTCCCAAATATCTGAATACATTCACCTCCTCCATACTCTCTCCCTCCAATCTGAAAATTCAATCTTTCATCGCCTAATCTTTTTGTTATCCTCAAAACCTTACTCTTTCCTGTATTCCCCTTTAATTTTCTTCTTTTGCACACCCTACCAAATTCATCCACCAATCTCTGCAACTTCTCTTCAGAATCTCCCAAGAGCACAGTGTCATCAGCAAAGAGCAGCTGTGACAACTCCCACTTTTGTGTTGATTCTTTATCTTTTAACTCCACGCCTTGTCAAGACCCTCGCATTTACTTCCTCTTACAATCCCCCTCTATAAATTTATTAAACAACCACGGTGACATCACAAAATCCTTGTCTAAGGGCCTACTTTTACTGGGAAATAATTTCCCTCTTCCTACATACTCTAACTTGAGCCTCACTATCCTCGTAAAAACTCTTCACTGCTTTCAGTAACCTACCCCTTACACCATATACTTGCAACATCTGCCACATTGCCCCCTATCCACCTGTCATACGCCTTTTCCAAATCCATAAATGCCACAAAGACCTCTTTAGCCTTATCTAAATACTGTTCACTTATATGTTTCACTGTAAACACCTGGTCCACACACCCCCTACCTTTCCTAAAGCCTCCTTGTTCATCTGCTATCCTATTCTCCGTCTTACTCTTAATTCTTTCAATAATAACTCTACCATACACTTTACCAGGTATACTCAGCAGACTTATCCCCCTATAATTTTTGCACTCTCTTTTATCCCCTTTGCCTTTATACAAAGGAACTATGCATGCTCTCTGCCAATCCCTAGGTACCTTACCCTTTCCATACATTATTAAATAATTGCACCAACCACTCCAAAACTATATCCCCACCTGCTTTTAACATTTCTATCTTTATCCCATCAATCCCGGCTGCCTTACCCCCTTTCATTTTACCTACTGCCTCACGAACTTCCCCCACACTCACAACTGGCTCTTCCTCACTCCTACAAGATGTTATTCCTCCTTTCCCTATACACGAAATCACAGCTTCCCTATCTTCATCAACATTTAACAATTCCTCAAAATATTCCCTCCATCTTCCCAATACCTCTAACTCTCCATTTTAATAACTCTCCTCTCTATTTTTAACTGACAAATCCATTTGTTCTCTAGGCTTTCTTAACTTGTTAATCTCACTCCAAAACTTTTTCTTATTTTCAACAAAATTTGTTGATAACATCTCACCCACTCTCTCATTTGCTCTCTTTTTACATTGCTTCACCACTCTCTTAACCTCTCTCTTTTTCTCCATATTCTCTTCCTCCTTGCATCACTTCTACTTTGTAAAAACTTCTCATATGCTAACTTTTTCTCCCTTACTACTCTCTTTACATCATCATTCCACCAATCGCTCCTCTTCCCTCCCGCACCCACTTTCCTGTAACCACAAACTTCTGCTGAACACTCTAACACTACATTTTTAAACCTACCCCATACCTCTTCGACCCCATTGCCTATGCTCTCATTAGCCCATCTATCTCCAATAGCTGTTTATATCTTACCCTAACTGCCTCCGCTTTTAGTTTATAAACCTTCACCTCTCTCTTCCCTGATGCTTCTATTCTCCTTGTATCCCATCTACCTTTTACTCTCAGTGTAGCTACAACTAGAAAGTGATCTGATATATCTGTGGCCCCTCTATAAACATGTACATCCTGAAGTCTACTCAACAGTCTTTTATCTACCAATACATAATCCAACAAACTACTGTCATTTCGCCCTACATCATATCTTGTATACTTATTTATCCTCTTTTTCTTAAAATATGTATTACCTATAACTAAACCCCTTTCTATACAAAGTTCAATCAAAGGGCTCCCATTATCATTTACACCTGGCACCCCAAACTTACCTACCACACCCTCTCTAAAAGTTTCTCCTACTTTAGCATTCAGGTCCCCTACCACATTACTCTCTCACTTGGTTCAAAGGCTCCTATACATTCACTTAACATCTCCCAAAATCTCTCTCTCTCCTCTGCATTCCTCTCTTCTCCAGGTGCATACACGCTTATTATGACCCACTTCTCGCCTCCAACCTTTACTTTAATCCACATAATTCTTGAATTTACACATTCATATTCTCTTTTCTCCTTCCATAACTGATCATTTAACATTACTGCTACCCCTTCCTTTGCTCTAACTCTCTCAGAAACTCCAGATTTAATCCCATTTATTTCTCCCCACTGAAACTCTCCTACCCCCTTCAGCTTTGTTTCGCTTAGGGCCAGGACATCCAACTTCTTTTCATTCATAACATCAGCAATCATCTGTTTCTTGTCATCCGCACTACATCCACGCACATTTAAGCATCCCAGTTTTATAAAGTTTTTCTTCTTCTCTTTTTTAGTAAGTGTTTACAGGAGAAGGGGTTACTAGCCCATTGCTCCCGGCATTTTAGTCGCCTCATACGACACGCATGGCTTACGGAGGAAAGATTCTTTTCCACTTCCCCATGGACAATAGAAGAAATAAAGAAGATCAAGAGCTATTTAGAAAACGGAGAAAAACCTAGATGTATGTATATATATATGCATGTGCGTGTCTGTGAAGTGTGACCAAAGTGTAAGTAGGAGTAGCAAGATATCCCTGTTATCTAGCGTGTTTATGAGACAGAAAAAGAAACCAGCAATCCTACCATCATGCAAAACAGTTACAGGTTTCTGTTTCACAGTCATCTGGCAGGACGGTAGTACTTCCCTGGGTGGTTGCTGTCTACCAACCTACTACCTACTTATTAATCTTGTTATATATTATTATTGCAGCAAAGAGATGTATTTGACCCAAAAGGGTCACTAATTCTATAATCAAAACAAATTATTTTTTAAAAGCTATAAGAATAAATCAGTACTTGGGTGATTTTTGTAAATCCACTAACTGATCCTATTATGATCAAGTGAAATAAGAAGAAATTTACGTCATGGATATTCTAAGTGAATTTCTTTCTGTAGTTCTAAGAAACAAGAGTAAAATAACTACACTTTAATTAATGAATGAATTTGTTTACAGTATCGGACAGGTGTTTTTGGAATGATCAAAATATGACCAATTTACTCTGACAGAAACCAAATTTACAGATGTCATCGCTGCTTCACGTACGAAGACCCAAGCTGGGTGGTCAGTTCTGGAGGCAGTGGGGCAGTCTCTTCCGGCAGTGGGGCAGCCACTTCCCGCAGTGGGGTAGCCACTTCCCGCAGTGGGACAACCACTTCCGGCAGTGGGGCAACCACTTCCGGCAGTGGGGCAGCCATATCCAGCAGTCAGTGAAACTTTCAACACGTGTTTCATCGTCTCATCCTCTTTACTCCAATATGTCTCTTGTTAGCTCCAGGTACAGTATGCACCTTGATAGCCCCAGGTACAGTATGCACCTTGATAGCCCCAGGTACAGTATGCACCTTGATAGCTCCAGGTACAGTATGCACCTTGATAGCTCCAGGTACAGTATGCACCTTGATAGCTCCAGGTACAGTATGCACCTTGATAGCTCCAGGTACAGTATGCACCTTGATAGCCCCAGGTAGAGTATGCACCTAGATAGCCCCAGGTACAGTATGCCACTTGATAGCCCCAGGTACAGTATGCACCTTGATAGCTCCAGGTACAGTATGCACCTTGATAGCTTCAGGTACAGTATGCACCTTGATAGCTCCAGGTACAGTATGCACGTTGATAGCCCCAGGTACAGTACGCACCTAGATAGCCCCAGGTACAGTATGCCACTTGATAGCCCCAGGTACAGTATGCACCTTGATAGCTCCAGGTACAGTATGCACCTTGATAGCTCCAGGTACAGTATGCCACTTAATAGCTCCAGGTACAGTATGCACCTAGATAGCCCCAGGTACAGTATGCACCGTGATAGCTCCAGGTACAGTATGCACCTTGATAGCTCCAGGTACAGTATGCACCTTGATAGCTCCAGGTACAGTATGCACCTTGATAGCTCCAGGTACAGTATGCACCTTGATAGCTCCAGGTACAGCATGCACCTTGATAGCTCCAGGTACAGTATGCACCTTGATAGCTCCAGGTACAGTATGCACCTTGATAGCTCCAGTACAGTATGCACCTTGATAGCTCCAGGTACAGCATGCACCTTGATAGCTCCAGGTACAGTATGCACCTTGATAGCTCCAGGTACAGTATGCACCTTGATAGCTCCAGGTACAGTATGCACCTTGATAGCTCCAGGTACAGTATGCCACTTGATAGCCCCAGGTACAGTATGCACCTTGATAGCTCCAGGTACAGTATGCACCTTGATAGCTCCAGGTACAGCATGCACCTTGATAGCTCCAGGTACAGCATGCACCTTGATAGCTCCAGGTACAGTATGCACCTTGATAGCCCCAGGTACAGTATGCACCTAGATAGCCCCAGGTACAGTATGCACCTTGATAGCCCCAGGTACAGTATGCACCTTGATAGCTCCAGGTACAGTATGCACCTTGATAGCTCCAGGTACAGTATGCACCTTGATAGCTCCAGGTACAGTATGCACCTTGATAGCTCCAGGTACAGCATGCACCTTGATAGCTCCAGGTACAGCATGCACCTTGATAGCTCCAGGTACAGTATGAAAAAATGCTAATAATTTTGCAAGCTAATTCAGCGATAATAATTTACATAATCCAATTCTCCTCCAGAAAATAAAAGATTGGGCAAATTGATGGCATCAGTGTATATAATACATTATATAAATTTATGGAGTGAATATGTGACTCGTATTTTAGTCTTAGAAAAATATTTATGCAGTATTATTTTACTGTTCAATTCTTAGTTTTTAAATTAAGTAAAAGGAGTTGGTTTCAACTAGTTTGTTAGAAACACCAAACGAACGTTCATGTCTTTACTAAATGAACGTACATGTCTTCACTAAACGAACGCACATGTCTTCACTAAACGAACGCACATGTCTTCTCTAAACCAACGCACATGTCCTCACTAAACGAACGGACACGTCTTCACTAAACGAACGCACATGTCTTCACTAAACGAACGCACATGTCTTCACTAAACGAACGAATATGTCTTCCCTAAATGAATGTGCATGTCTTCACTAAACGAAGGCACATGTCTTCACTAAACGAACGCACATGTCTTCACTAAACGAACGCACATGTCTTCACTAAATGAACGAATATGTCTTCACTAAATGAACGCATATGTCTTCACTAAGTGAACGCACATGTCTTCACTAAATGAACGCATATGTCTTCACTAAGTGAACGCGCATGTCTTCACTAAACGAACGCACATGTCTTCACTAAACGAACGCACATGTCTTCACTAAACGAACGTACATGTCTTCACTAAACGAATGCATACGTCTTCACTAAACGAACGCACATGTCTTCACTAAACGAACGCACATGTCTTAGTAAATGAACGTACATGTTTTTACTAAATGAACGTACATGACTTTACTAAATGAACGTACATGTCTTAACTAAATGAACGAACATTTCTTTACTAAATGAACGTACGTGTCTTTACTAAATGAACGCACATGTCTTTACTAAATGAACGTACATGTCTTTACTAAATGAACGTACATATCTTTACTAAATGAACGTACATGTCTTTACTAAATGAACGTACATGTCTTTACTAAATGAACGTACATGTCTTTACTAAATGAACGTACATGTCTTTACTAAATGAACGTACATGTCTTTACTAAATGAACGTACATGTCTTTACTAAATGAACGAACATGTCTTTACTAAATGAACGCACATGTCTTTACTAAATGAACGCAAATATCTTTACTAAATGAACGCACATGTCTTTACTAATGAACGCACATGTCTTTACTAAATGAACGTACATGTCTTTACTAAATGAACGTACATGTCTTTACTAAATGAACGCACATGTCTTTACTAAATGAACGCACATGTCTTTACTAAATGAACGTACATGTATTTACTAAATGAACGTATATGTCTTCACTAAATGAACGTACATGTCTTCACTAAATGAACATACATGTCTTTACTAAATGAACGCACATGTCTTTACTAAATGAACGCACATGTCTTTACTAAATGAACGTACATGTATTTACTAAATGAATGTATATGTCTTCACTAAATGAACGTACATGTCTTCACTAAATGAACGTACATGTATTTACTAAATGAACGTATATGTCTTCACTAAATGAACGTACATGTCTTAGTAAATGAACGTACATGTCTTTACTAAATGAACGTACATGTCTTTATTAAATGAACGCCCATGTCTTTACTACATGAACGTACATGTCTTTATTAAATGAACGCACATGTCTTCACTAAATTAACGAATATGTCTTCAATAAACAAACGCACATGTCCTCACTAAACGAACGGACATGTCTTCGCTAAACGAACGCACATGTCTTCACTAAATGAACGCATATGTCTTCACTAAATGAACGCACATGTCTTCACTAAACGAACGAATATGTCTTCACTAAACGAAGGCACATGTCTTAACTAAATGAACGAATATGTTTTCACTAAACGAACGAATATGTCTTCACTAAACGAACGCACATGTCTTCACTAAACGAACGAATATGTCTTCACTAAACGAACGCACATGTCTTCACTAAACGAACGCACATGTCTTCACTAAACGAACGAATATGTCTTCGCTAAATGAACGCACATGTCTTCACTAAACGAACGCACATGTCCTCACTAAATTAACGCACATGTCTTCACTAAACGAACGCACTTGTCTTCACTAAATGAACGCACATGTCTTCACTAAATGAACGAATATGTCTTCACTAAATGAACACACATGTCTTCACTAAATGAACGAACACACATGTCCTCACTAAACGAACGCACATGTCTTCACTAAATGAACGAATATGTCCTCACTAAATGAATGTATATGTCTTCACTAAACGAACGCGCATGTCTTCACTAAACGAACGCGCATGTCTTCGCTAAACGAACACACATGTCTTCACGAAAGCAACGCATATGTCCTCACTAAACGAATGGACTCGTCTTCACTAAACGAATGCACATGTCTTCACTAAACGAACGTGCATGTCTTCACTAAACGAACGCACATGTCTTCACTAAACGAACGCACATGTCTTAACTAAATAAACGCACATGTCTTCACTAAACGAACGAACATGTCTTCACTAAATGAACGAATATGTCTTCACTAAACGAACGCGCATGTCTTAACTAAATAAACGCACATGTCTTCAACTAAACGAACGCACATGTCTTCACTAAACGAACGCACATGTCTTCACTAAACGAACGCGCATGTCTTCACTAAACGAACGCACATGTCTTCACTAAACGAACGCACATGTCTTCACTAAATGAACGAATTTGTCTTCACTAAATGAACGCATATGTCTTCACTAAGTGAACGACATGCCTCCACTAAATGAACGAATATGTCTACACTAAATAAACGTATATGTCTTCACTAAACGAACACACATGTCCTCACTAAACGAACGCACATGTCTTCACTAAACGAGTGCACATGTCTTCACTAAACGAACGCGCATGTCTTCACTAAACGAGTGCACATGTCTTCATTAAATGAACGCACATGTCTTCATTAAATGAACGAATATGTCTTCACTAAATTAACGCACATGTCTTCACTAAGTGAACGCACATGTCTTCACTAAATGAAAAGATATGTGAGAACATGTGCGTTTCTTTAGTAAAGACATATTCGTTGGTTTAGTGAAGACATGTGCGTTCGTTTATTGCGGACATGTGCATCATTTAGTGAAGACATATTCGTTCATTTAGTGAAGACATGTGCGTTCATTTAGTGAAGACATGTGCGTTCGTTTAGTGAGGACATGTGTGTTCGTTTAGTGAAGACATGTACGTTTATTTAGTGAAGACATTTTCGTTCATTTAGTGAAGACATGTGCGTTCATTTAGTGAAGACATGTGCTTTCGTTTAGTGAAGATGTGTGCGTATGTTTAGTGAAGACATGTGCGTTAATTTAGTGAGGACATGTGCATTCGTTTAGTGAACACATATGCGTTCATTTAGTGAGGACATGTGCGTTCATTTATCGAAGACATATTCGTTCGTTTAGCAAAGACATGTGCGTTCGTTTAGTGAAGACATGTGCGTTCATTTAGCGAAGACATATTCGTTCGTTTAGCTAAGACATGTGCGTTCGTTTAGTGAAGACATGTGCGTTCGTTTAGTGAAGACATATGCGTTCATTTAGTGAAGACATATTTGTTCATTTAGTGAAGACATGTGCGTTCGTTTAGTGAAGACATGTACCTTTATTTAGTGAAGACATGTGCGTTCGTTTAGTGAAGACAT